GAATTTGCTTTGTGTGTGTGTGTGTGTGTGTGTGTGTGTGTGTGTGTGTGTGTGTATGTGTGTGTGTGTCTGTGCCTCCTCTGTCGCTTCGCGCAACAGCACAGACCCGCCCGTGCACAGACATTCCTCATTTGTTGGCAGCATATGCATTCCACGTGGTTCATCATGATTCACATGATGTCATTCATGTGCAGGCGAAACCGAAGAGGACTTCCAAGAGACCATGGATTTGTGCGAAAAGTACAAATTTCCCTCGCTGTTCATCAACCAGGTGTGGCCATGTGTGTGTGTGTGTGTGTGTGTGCGGTCATGTATGTTTTGTGTATTTCACTCGCTGACGAGGTATACCGCTCTGGCGCCACAGACATCTCTCACGCACCTCATTATTGTCATGTGTGCAGTTCTTTCCTCGGCCAGGCACACCTGCTGCCCGCATGGAGAGAATTGATCCCCGCGACGGTACACTGATGATGATGATGATGATGATGATGATGATGATGATGATGATGATGATGATGATGATGATGATGATGATGGTGGTGGTGGTGGTGGTGGTGGTGGTGGTGGTGGTGGTGGTGGTGGTGGTGGTGGTGGTGGTGGTGGTGGTGGTTGTGATTGAGCTGACAATTACAAATACACACACATAAGCACTCACATACGCACACACATACGCACACACACACGCACACACACACACGCACACACGTACGCATGCGTACATCTCATACGGCCGCATCTGCTTTCCTTTTTGTTCAGGTGAAGAAGCGAACGAAGCGGTTGAGCGAGCTGTTCCAGTCCTACCTTCCTTATGAACACAAGGTACGAGCGCAATCACGCACACGCACACATGCACACACGCACACGCACACATGCATCTCATGCGTATGTGTTATCCCTTGTCTCTGCCTCACCACTCACCGCCAATTATTTTTTCCGCTTCCTCATTGCACGCACACACACACACATACACACACACATACACACACACACATACACACATACACACATACACACATACACACATACACACATACACACATACACACATACACACACACACCGCCCGCCGCAGCTTGGGCAGCGGCAGCGGGTGCTGGTGACGGACGTCTCCACGGATGGTAACTACTTTGTTGCGCACAACAAGAGCTTCGACCAGGTGCTTGTGCCGCGCCGGCCAGAGATCATGGGCAAAATGATCACTGTCGACATCACAGCAACGGGGAAACACTTTTTGGTGCGTAACACTTGTGTGTGTGCGTGTGTGTATGTGTGTGTGTGTGCGTGTGTGTCTGTGTACGTCTGTGTTTGTCTGTCTATCTCTTTGCCCGTCTGTCTGTCTGTCTGTCTGTCTGTCTGTCTGTCTGTCTGTCTGTCTGTCTGTCTGTCTGTCTCTGTCTATCTATATGCAAATGTACTGGTGTGCATGTGATGGTCGTCGACGCAATGCACCAGTGTTCAGCGACAGCTGCGTGGAATCCTATCGAGGATGCTTGCGCACCACCAGACAACATCCGTACTCATCATCACACACACGCGTGCCCCTCGTCACGCCCTCACTGACGCTGCATGCTTTTCCCTCACACGTTTGCTTGCTTTTGCACATCGTAAGATGGGGCGTGTGGTTGAGGAATCTGTCTCTGCGGCACAATTACCATCATCAACATCATCATCAAGATTGCCGACGTCAACATCAGCATCACCATCAGCGTCCGCGCTGCTGCGGGCGGTGAAGCATGTGGCCCTTGCTCTTCTTCTTCTCGTTACCTTTGACATTCTGCGAAAGCACCTGTTCTCGTAGCATCGCTGTGCCCATCCATCACCCGCAGCGCAATCGCACACGATCAACCACATGGTGTATTTGTTGATGCACTCTCTTTGTATGCAGGCTCTTCGTTGTGCGAACGTTTAGTGAGAAGATGACAAATACAAACAGGCGAGCGAGCGAAGGGCAGAAAGGCAGGCCACTTGCTTGCAAGCAACGAACAAAACACACACACACACACACACACACACACACACACACACACACACACACACACACACACACACACACACACACACACTTAAAGCAACAAACGACTATGGCACAAGCAACAAATCTAAGACACCCTCAACGAAGAAAGCTTGGAGAGGGGGGAGAGTGGGTGTCACCGCATCAACTTACGAACCCTCATCTCTTCATGATCTACAATCAACAGCATGAAACACCACAGACAAAACAAAACCTGGTGGGTAACACCAAACGCACACACGCACACACGCACACACGCACACGCACACACGCACACACGCACACCACACACACTCTCTCTCTCCTCCTACTTTCCCTTCTCTTCTCCTTTCCTTTCTCTCTTCTCTCCACTCCACTCCTCTTCTCGCTGATGTAAGTGTTGTTCTTCTCAGCAGCTGCTGTCGGCCCATGAAAACGTCTTGACGCGAGCGCAAAGGCGGGTTGCGTCATGGATGGCGGAGATGACGGAATGGTCGTCAGGTGCAAAGCGGATGCTGCTTCCACTCTCCTTGTTGTGCAGGATGTACGTCTCTGGGCCGTGCTCCGTCTCCCTGTGCAGCGAGGAGGTGAAGAGGTCGAATGCCTTGCGGATGTGGTAGCGCCGCGAGGACCGCGCCTGCGACGCGACCAGCACCATGTCGTTGAAGATGAGCAAGGTGATGACGCGCTTCACCGCCGCCCCCTTCTTGGCACTGTCCTTCTTGCTGCGGTACAGCTCGCTCGCGTCCGCCGTCCGCACAAACTGGCGCGTCTCCGTGACGATGCTTGCAGGCACGTGGCCCGTGAGCCGTTGTTCCAGGTCCTCCACCTTGTTGGTGTGGTCGACGCAGCACTGGAACTCCTCGGCCTGGATGCGCGAGTAGATGCCCTCCAGCACATCGCGTGGGACGTCCCCGCCGTCGTCAATCCCGCGGTTGTTGCGCACAAACTCGTTGAGCGTCATCTTGCGCACGTTGCTCGGGTTGTGCAGGTCCGTGTGCAGCATCATGATGGAGAAGGCCAGGATGAAGGCCGTGTCCTCGTGGCAGAAGCACGTCGGGTTGCACGAGTGGTAGCGGTGCGCAAACGCCGCCATCACCCGCTCAATCTTCTGCGCCTCGCCCGGGATGCGGAAGGCGAGCAGGAACAGGCGCAGGCACACGTCAATCGCCGCGTTGGTGAAATCAAACGTGTTGGCATATGCCTGCAGGCATGCCTTGCTGCGGTCCTCGTCAGACCCGAGGAATTCGCCCAGCTTGGCGCGGCTGATGCCCGGCTCCTGGCACAAGAAGGACATGATCTCTGCAGCAGGCGGATGTGAAAAAAAAAAAAAAAAAGCACATGTGGCGTGAATGGCGCATTGACGTGAGACAACGACAAATCAGGCAGCCATACATACACAAGAAACAAGACCGTCGCGACACAACGAACAATAGCCAGGTAGGAATTCATGAAGCACAGCAACACAAGACTCACCCTGTGGGTCGTCGACAACGAGGCCGCACATCATGAGGTCGTGGATGCCTTTGCTCGGGTTCTTGTTGAAGCGGTACATCGCCAGCCGCGCCAGCTCAAGCTCCGTCTGCACCCCGCCATGGTCGCGCAGGAAGCGTAAAGGAACACGAGGGATCACAAGATAGAAGCGGCAGCGTGAGCACGCACACACACACACACATGAACAAACACACACACACACACACACACACAAAACAAACCAAAGAAGCAAACAACCAAGCAAACAAAACCATCCAACCACATGCAGACAGAGAAGAGAGTACACGCCACACAAAGCACCGACAACGCACCGCCTCTGCATCCGCCGACACCGGTTCGCTGACGGCCGAAAGCGACTTGATCGTCGCCGTCTTGGACGACGTCCCTGCTGCCGTGTCCGCGTCCACGTCCACGGCGGTGGTGGCGGACGCAGCATGCTCATCCGCGCCACCAATGTGGAAGTACTCCTGGTCAGCCATGCTGCCGTTCCCTGCCGTTGGCGCCGCTGTGGTCGTGCTCGCGTCCTCTGCCGGGGGCGAGAAGCTAATCTCAACAGACTTGCGCGCCGCCTTGTTCGCGCCGCTTGCACCGCTACCCCTTGCCCCTGCCGCTGTCGCTGTCTTTGTTGTCTTTGTTGTCTTTGTTGTCGTTGTCGCGGACGGCTTGGCTTCATCTGCCTGCATCTGCTGCTGCTTCTGCTTCTTCGCTGCGGCGACGGCTGCGTCCTCGTCGGCCTCCTCGTGCCGCTCCTCCTGCCGTGGCAGCCGCCGCATCATCGCCGCCGTCAGCCGCCGCCCCCCATACGACGGCCGTCGCGCCATGCTCGCTGTCCGCCGCACGCCACCGGTCGACAGCCCTGCACCCATGGACGACACAGAGGGGTGCCCCACGCTGCGCAGGTGCGGCGATGCTGCCGTGCTGCCGCTGTTGCTGCCGCCAACGGCCTCCTCCCACAGCTCCCTGCTTGCCAGCGACGTGGTTGGCAGCCGCGGGCGGGCGTGGATGTCGCCGTGTCGAGGGTGCACCTTTGCGTTGAGCCGCTGCCTGTCCAGCGTGCGCCGCCGTCCGCGCTCGTTTGCCGTCGCCTTGACCTTGGTGAAGTGCCTGTTGACGACGCACCCGCGGTACCAGCGCTGAATCACCGCCGCCGCCACATCTCGCCGCCGGAGCTCCTCGTCACGCCCGCTGCCACCGGCCAACGTGCTGGCGGTGGCGCTGCTGCTGGTGATGGTGGTGGTGGTGCTGTTAGCGGTGGTGGTGTCGTTGTCGTCGTCGTCTTCGGAGTCAAAGCCCCACTGCTCATCATCGTCACCGCTTGTGCTGTAGAGGGACGGGTCCTTCACAAACGCATCAAACGGCAGCAGCGACTCCAGGCCCACGCCGTGCTGCAGCAGCACTGTGCGCAGATACGCGGAGAAGCGGTGCAGGCACGAGTTCTCCTCCTCCGTGCGCTGCACCTGTCCTTCCAGCTCGTACACCTGGTCGTTGAGCGTGGCGTTGCGCACAGCGAGCTGCTTGCACAGCACAGCCAGGTCGCCGTGCTTCTTCTTCCGCAGCACAACCGTTTTCAGCCGCGTGTCGTGGCTCCCGCCCTCATCGTCGCCCTGTGCATGCAGTGGCATAGACGTCGTGCGCGCATGTGTTTGTGTTCGTGTGCGTGTGCGTGTGTGTGTGTGTGTGCATGCGTGTGTGTGTGTGCACGTTGGCTTGCCATGAGAATCGCGGCAATGTCACCGCACTCACAGCAACAACAAACCAACAAAGTGCATGGCGGCAGCAGGGGCACACACATCATCTGAAAACTCGGAGAGTTGGGACGTGGAGAGCTGACTAGCACGCCGGTTCTTCTCCGCAACAACGTCAGTGTGCTGTGGGGAAGAGAGTGTGTGCATGTGTGTGTGTGTGAAAGGGTGTGTGTGAGAGTGTGTGCATGTGTGTGTGAAAGGGTGTGTGTGAGAGAGTGTGTGCATGTGTGTGTGAAAGGGTGTGTGTGTGAGAGTGTGTGCATGTGTGTGTGTGAAAGGGTGTGTGTGTGTGTGTGTGTGTGTGAGTGTGTGACAGGGTGTGAGAGAGAGTGTGTGTGTGTGTATGTTAGGGTTGTCGCCATAAGCAATAAAGTGAAAAAGCCAGCGTGGCATAAAAGGAGCAGGTGAAGCCAACACATCAGTGCCCTAATACACGTGACCTGTGTCAACAACAACAACAACAACAACAACAACAACAACAACAACAACAACAACAACAACAACAACAACAACAACAACAACAACAACAACAACAACAAAGAACCTTTCGCCCCCTCCCGGGCCCCCGCAGGGTGTGACGACAACAACGATAATAACAGCCGCGTGGCGCCCACCTGCTGAATGCGAGCACGCAGGAGATTCTTCCAGTCTTTGGCCTCCAGAGGGCTCTTGCAATGAAGATACAACGTGCGATGCTGTGTTTGGATGCCAAGCCCACTCTGCACACGTTGTGTGTGTGTGTGTACTTGAGTGTGAGACGCGTGGGAAGAGAAATAGACAGACGGCGGCACTTGGAATACAAATATTGTAGAGCATGCAGCTGCACAGTTGCGCCGACAGAGCATGAGACAAGCGAGTTGTTCTTACGCCGGAGACAAAGGTGCTGCTGGGCCAATTGACACGGCACTCGTGCTCCTCTAGGACACGCGTGCCTTTGCCCAACACCATGCAGCCCTGGCAAGACACACACGAGTGCTTGTGAGCAAAACCACACAAGGGGGGGGGGGTCGCGCGACACAACCACACAGTCATCCATCGACTCTCTATGACTGATGACACAATACATCTTGACCACTGTGCTGCGTTGTGTGTGTGTGTCTCGCTGTGTGTTTGTGTTTGTGTGTGTGTCTTCGTGTGTGTGTGTGTGTGTGTGTGTGTGTGTGTGTGTGTGTGTGTGTGTGTGTGTGTGTGTTTGTGTGTGTGTGTGTGTGTGTGTAAGTTTGGGTCGCTGTGTGTGTGTGTGTCTTTGTGTGGACCTCCTTACCTTTCTGGAGGTTGGAGCGCCAATGCGGGCCTCGCCCTCAGTGGTAAAGTAAGAGAGCATGGAGGACGTGGACGACAGTGGTGAGATGACAAAGTACCGCCGGCGCCATGATCGCCGGTTCTGGCCCTGCGAACCATTGTGTCAAACACCAACAAGCATGCAAGCACGCAATTGAGAAGAGTAACAGTGACAGTGACAGTGACAGAGGAGAGGGCAAAGGAGGAGAGGGAGGAGGGTGAGGAAGACGGAGGGATGACAGCGGAACAAAAGAAAGCCGGGCAGCAAGCAACGAGCTGTTGTTTGCTGTTGTGCGATCGATGACATACACCCGCACAAACAAACTGCAAACCACACCACACCACAACTACAATGTCATAACCACAATGTCACAACCACAACAGCACACGTCGAACAATCGCACAGACGGAAGGAAGGACACCCAGAGCACCACCACACCACAGACACACCACACTCACAAACACACCTGCTTGTGGGCAAACCCGAGCAGAGACGCCATCCTGGACTTCAATCGCGGACAAATGACCAAAGACATCCACCAATTATCACAACTGCACACAGGCAAGAGGAAGACAGACACACACGTTGCACTTTCTCCTCTCTCGCGCACAAACACACTTTACTTTGGAGACGAGCAAGATGCGGGCAGCGGTGTGGTGGAAGAAGGCGCTTGTGGTGGTGCTGGTGGCGCTGCTTGTTGGCGGTGTGGGTGGTGCGATGAATGGAGCACACGCTGCTGAAGAAGATGAGTTTGACGAGGACGAGTTTACATCGCCGGGAGCTGGTGTGGCCGTGCCATCACCACCAAAGGCAGCCACTGACATCGCGGATGACGGTGCCAGCGTGCCACTGGAGGATGCCGCACCTGGCGACGCGGACGAAGAGGAGGTACGCTTCCTTTGAAGGCGCTGCCGCTATGATTAGAAGTCAAGAATGCAGCGTATGCCTGGGACCTTGTGTCTTGTCTTCTTGATTGAGAACTCCAACCAGACCCGTTGTTTCGAGATATCCTTTTGCACATACACATGCACAAATCCACCCACACACACACACACATATTCATACACATCCCAACAAGCACGCGCGCGCACGCGCACACACGCAATCTCTCATCCACTACCATCGCACGTCTTGCTGTGCAGTTTGATTCTGCGTCCGAGTTCCGGGTTGTGGGCATCCCGCGGACCGCCGTCAACTCACTGGATGATGACTTTGATGAAGAAGAGTTTGAGGCCGTACTTGTGGACGAACCTGTGCAACAGCAAGGTGCCGCCGGCCGCGGTGACAGCAAGGTGGCCGGCAGCCATGACGATGACGAGGAGGTGGATGATGACGACATCGATGGCGACGTCAAGCTGGATCTGTCTGTGGAGGCGAAGGCGGCTGCGCGCCTGAGCAACCGGCCCCTTGATATTCGCGAATACTACCTGGAGATTGTTGGCCTTGTGGTTCTCCTGGGCTTCCTCGTGTTCTATCTTCATGGCCGCTCCGAGAACAAGCGCGTCGTCGAGGCTGTGTACGTCATGCCACACACCTTTTGTGACATGTTCGAGAGCAGAGGAAAGGCGGGCTTTTCATGCGTGTGCGTGTATCTGTGTATCTGTGTGTCCGTGTGTCAGTGCCTGTGTGCCTGTTCGTTTGGATGGCAATTTTGTTGTTCTGACTTGGCGTGCGCTGCTGTTGATATCCCCAGCGCGGAGTCTGTGCTGGAGCGAATGAAGGAGCGCTTTGCTCACATCGGCGACGAGACAAGCGTAGGTGCTGCACTGCCCTGTGTGTCTGTGTGTCTGTGTGTCTGTGTCTGTGTGTGTTTGTTTGTTGTGCAAGTGTGGCAGGTGCAGTTGTGTTGAATTTGTCCGTGACCCATGCCTGTGTATTTTCCTCTTTGGTGTGTGCTCACATACGTGCGTGTACGTCGTGTGTGTTCTTCCCAGAAACCCATCATTGCCGAAGCTGCAAACGAGTTTGTACTCTATGGCACCGGCAACAGGCGCTGCTTCAGGTGTGTGTGTGTGTGTGTGAGTGTGTGTGCCTCTGTGTCTCTGTGTGGCTGTGTCTCTGTGTCTCTGTGTTGTACCGCAAGCCCGTGTTTGTTTCCTGATGCGCATGCACCGGCGCTCCTCGCTCGCTCTGCATTCACACTCAAGTGTGCCGTGTTGTTTGTTTGTTTGATTGTGTGGACGTGGTGCTGGCGACCTTTTGTGCAGTTTCAAGGCTGAGTTTGTGCTGAAGCGGCGGCAGGATGCGATTGGGCTGGTGCTCGACACGGCGACCGGCCAGCAGGACACGCTCGTCGTCTCTGCCCAGCTCGACGGCAAGCAGGTTGACCCGTTTGTGCTCGCAGTCACCACCCCACTCTTTGAACCGGAGCTCAGGAGCGACAACGAAGACATCGCCTTCCTGACCAAGGTGACGATGATGATGATGATGGTGATGATGATGTGGTGGTGGTGATGGTGGTGAACAACAAAACGTATTGTTTGTCACATCGGTCGCGTTTGTCTGCTGCTTGTGTTTAAGCGTATGCCAGCACACGCATGCAAACCGCGCGTACTCACCTCCCCCTCCCCCTACTCCTGCGACCTGGTGTCTGTGAACGTGTGAGCAGAAAGGGCCGCAGCTGTTTGAGACGCTGAATGTCGTGTGCGATTCGCAGGGCGCCGCCACATCCATCCTCTCCGGCTCCGTCCTCACTCGCATCAAGGCCATCGAGGTGAGGTGCACACATGGTGACGTGTTTGGTTGCTTGCTTGCTGAATTCTTTGGCGCTGTCTGTGTGTGTGTGTGTGTGTGTTGTGTCTGTCTGTCTCTCTCTCTGTGTGTGTGTGTGTGTGTGTGTGTGTGTGTGTGTGTGTGTGCGTCCGTTTGGTTGGCTCGTTCGTTTGAACATGTATCTCTCTGTGTGCATGGTGGTTTGTGTTTGTGTGTGCTGTGGGTGCTCACATGACTGCTTCTGTTGCTGCTGCAGGATTATCTCGTGCATTTGAAGATGACCGACCAATACCGCACGCAAAAGGTGCGTGCGCACAACACTCTCACTTGTGTTTCGTTCACCTGCCGATCTGCAAGCACGCAAGACTGCTGCTTTTCTCCCTCGTGTACACCCCCAACCCAACCTAAACACTCAACGTGCGCCTGTGCCATGCTCACACGCACACACGCACACATACACAAATACACACACGCACACACACACACTCACGTGTCCGTATTGATGGTCGTGTGCACTGCGCTTGTTGGCAGGTCCGGCGGCCGGGCGATTGGCCAAACAATGACCTCAAGCTGCAGAAGCCAATCAACGTACGGTGGTCGTGATGATGATGATGATGATGATGATGATGATGATGATGATGATGATGATGATGATGATGATGATGATGATGATGATGATGGAGAGAGAGAGAGAGAGAGAGTGTGTGTGTGTGTGTGTGTGTGTGTGTGTGACGAGTGACCCTGTACTGTGCAGAAAGCACAGTTCACGTCATTATTGCAAGCACACATTAGGAAGACAGTCGCGACTTTCCACTGGCAACACACTCACACACACTCCCTCAAACACTTGTGTGTATGTGTGGTTGGACAGGCGATGACAATGCACCTGTCTGTTGATTTGACGCGCGAGGCAGACCGTGCTGCCGCTGTCACCGCCATCGAGGTATGTACCCATCACCACGCACTCGTGCATACCTGTACCAACCACGCACTGATGCTTGCCATCACCAACATCGCTGTTGTTCTTGTTGTTCTTGTTGTTCTTGTTGTTCTTGTTGTTGTTGCTGTTGTTGTTGTTCTTGTTGTTCTTGTTGTTCTTGTTGTTCTTGTTGCTGTTCTTGTTCTTGCTCTTGTTGCTGTTCTTGTTCTTTGTTGTTCATTCTTCTGTTCCTGCTGGGCGGTTATTGCTGTACCACCTTATCTCGTCTCTGTGGACTGCTGTTGCGCTCACACCTCATTGCGTGTGCGTGCGACACCAGCTGGGCATGGACTTGCTGGAAGCAATGGCCACCTACAAGATGTCGTCTCAGGTGCGAGATCCACCCAACACACGCGCACGCACGCTCAAGTGTTTCTTGGCGTACTGAACACACCTGCTTGTGTACACGTTCCTTCATTGTTTCGTTTCCACCATGTGACGGCTACACGCATATATTCCCGTATTGGCTGCGGTGTGTGTGTGTGTGTGTGTGTGTGTGTGTGTGTGTGTGTGCAGGACAAGACGCGCGCGAAGAAGCTCCGCGATGACTTCACGTCGCTAATCCAGAAGGAAATCTCCAAGCAGGAGGCGCAGGTAGGCAACGCCAGTGTTGGCGGGAATTAAGGGGCGGCACTCGCGTGCGGAGGCATCGCAAAGTGCAAGTGCAAGAGTTGCAAGCGCATTCGTGGCACACACACACACACACACACACACACACACACACACACACACACACACACACACACACACACACACACACACACACACACACACACACACACACACACACAGAGTGTGCAAGTGGCTCCCTTTTCACACACCACCATTGTACCACATCGCAGGCTGTGCAGGCGCGGGTTGAGGAGCGGAAGCAGAAGGAGCGGGAGCGACTGGAGGCGAATCCGCAGGAGCTCGCAAAGTGGGAGGAGAAGCAGCGCAAGCGGCAGCAGCGCAAGCAGGCCAAGCAAGGCCGCATCATGATCAAGTAGCACACCCGCAACTTTGCCTTGCTTGCTCATGCATGTGTGTGTGTGTGTGAGTGTGTGTGTGTGTGTGTGTGTGTGTGTGTGTGTGTGTGATGTGAGGGATTGAACAGCCACAGCAACAACAGCAACAAATGGACATTGCATCAGCAACGATAGGCGACTGTCCTGCCGCGAATTTCAAACAGGCAGTGATGAGTCATCAGTGGCAGCGATGCAAGCACGAGCCAGCGAAGCAATCAACAAGACAGAAGCGTGCAAGCAACACAACGCACAACGCAGTGCAGCAGTGCAATGTGGCTCCACACACACGCCCGCCATCATCATTCTTCCGTTGCCCTTCTCAAACCTCACGCAACAAGGCAGGAAGGAGCTGTCGTGTGTACCTGCACAAGTGGCCGCCTAACGCACGACTTGAAGTGTCCATCCTCAACATCTGATGTTGCTGCTGTTGGCGTGCTTCAACAGCCTAACAGCAAACAGCAACGCGTCTCTCCACAAGACTAGAGACGAGCCTTCGGCTTTCTTGCTGACCTCTCGTCACAGCCCTGAACCATGGCAAGCGACCTTGCTATTGAAGAGAACACGCCCACAAACGAGAGAGTGCAGTCCAAGTTCAAGCAATGGGGTAAGGGAGGCGTCACCACGTTCTGCTATGCATGCATGTGTGTGAGTGTGTTTTGCATATGTGTGCACGTGTGTGTGTGTGTGTGTTTTGCATATGTGTGTGCGTGTGTGAGAGTGTGTGCATGTGTGAGAGTGTGTGCATGTGTGAGAGTGTGTGCGTGTGAGTGTGTGCGTGTGAGTGTGTTTGCATGTGTGCGTGTGTGAAGGAGTGTGTGACTATGCAAGCAAGCAGCACCCGCTCATGCACGCATGTATGTTTGTGTGCACCGCTGGCTCCTCCGCCCTTCCCGCCCCCTCTCCTTCTAGTGAACAAGAAGATCCATTGGTACTGTCGCGGGGTGATTGCACACCCGCGCATGGGAACCAGCATCCTTCTCCTCCTCACCTTCGTGCTATCTGGAAGTAAGCAGGAGCTAATTGTTGGCTGAAGGCATGTTGTGCTAACATGCACTTGTCATCACAGACCTACGCACCCTCTTTCCCCTTTCCCAACTCTTTTGCTCGCCTTTCCACTCATCCAAGCATCTGTGGTTCCCTTGGTGTGGTTGCTTGCAGTTGCGTTTGTTGTCTATCCCTTTGACATTGACACGACGGTCACGACCTTCATTCCTCGCACGTCTCGCATCGGAAAGCTGGAAGAGACTCGCATCCTTGCTGAGGAAATTACTCGCTTCAACCCGTACGTTCATTGTGTGTATGTGTGAGAGAGTCTATGTGTGTTGCAAGCCAGCAGTGAATCGCATCGTTCAACAATCATCGAACACACACACACACACACACACACACACACTCTCTCTCTCTCTCTCTCTCTCTCTCTCTCTCTCTCTCTCTCTCTCTCTCTCTCTTCATTCGATACGCAATCACGCACACACGCTTCATTCCACACACAATCACACACACAATCCCTTGCAGATTCCGTGCACCTTCGAACACATCATCTGTGATAGTACCGCAGCAAACAGACGAGGACTACTACCTGCAGCTGCTGTTCTCTGTTCCGCATGGCGACAACGTCTTCACCCGTGGCCGCATCACCGCCATGCACAACATGGAGCTGGCTATCAGGGCCATGCAGGGTGATCCAAGCTTCACACAAGTTTGCGCGCGTGCCAGGGACAGCACCGTAAGCTCGTGTGTGTGTGTGTGTGTGTGTGCGTGTGTGTGTGCGTGTGTGTGTGTGTGTGTGTGTGTGTGTGTGTGTGTGTGTACGTCTCTGTGTATCTGTGTGTATATGTCTAACTGTATCTGTGTATGTGTATGTCTCTGTGTATCTGTGTGTTGGTTGTTGTGTGATTGCTTCCTCATTAACGCAATCCAGTTCAGTTCAGTTCCGTTCAAGTCCAGCTTCAGCACTTCATCTGCAACCTCACACAACGTCATGTGTGCACACGTCTGCATGCACTTCTTTGCACAGGAATGCTCGCAGCCGCAGTCCGTGACCCGATTCTTCTTTGCATCGGAAATTGATGGCTGTCCAAATGTGTACCGCCCAGATGGAAACAACACAGACATGTGCGTGCATCTGCTTGTGTTTGAAAACGTTTTTGCTTGCCTGCGTGACGTTGCTCGTCCTTCATCCGCCAGCCATCTCCGCCCACCCCTCACACACACACACACACTCTCTCTCTCTTGATCGTACTAACCTCACCACGTATTCTCCTCTCCCTACTTCCACTCCCTCCCCCCTGCCCTAATATTCAGCCCGTTTGCGTCCGTCGACGACGTGTTGCTGGCTCTCATCACGCCACGCAACGTGAGCGCGAACACGTCCCTGCCGGCCTTCTGCTACTCCACAGCGGGTGACTGCTACGCAAACTGTTTCGACCCGTCACCGTCAGCGATCGACTTTGCTGTCGCTGACACGTTTGGTTTCCCAGACAACAACGCCTCTCTCACCCCAGACCTCACGTCACACGTCTCGACGGTGTGTGTGTGTGTGTGTGTGTCTGTGTGTGTGTGTCTGTGTGTGTGTGTGTGTGTGTGTGTGTGTGAGTGAGTGAGAGAGAGTGTGTGTGTGTGTGTCTGTCTGTCTGTCTGTCTGTCTGTCTGTGTGTGTGTGTGTGTGTGTCTGTATCTCTGTGTGTGTGTGTCTCTCTGTGTGTGTGTCTCTCTGTGTCTCTGTGTCTCTGTGTGTCTGTGTCTGTGTGTGCGTACATTTGTATTGTGTCTCATTTCATCGACACTCTCGCTCGTCAACTCATCCTGCTTGCCGGTTCTTGATGGCAGTCGCTGACATTCTTTGGCCTTCCGTTAGCCGGGTTCAAAAGCCCGGACGACCGGTATCAGCTCCTGCACCACCACCTTGGCACATGCACACATGCATTTCTGCGTACACTCCCGCACATGTACATACGTCCATGCGAATGGTGTTCTTCAACTGTACGAGACTTGCTCATGCGTGCTCCCGTTGCTTTCATTGCGTGCTGTCATCAGGTACGATGAGCAGATCTCCATCATTGAGTCATTTGTCAAGCGCGTGCCGTCCACGCTCCGCCCCTTCAAGAAAGCGGAGGGTCTCACCACCACCATCCTCAGCGGCGTCCTTGTATGTTTTGCCTGCTGCTTGCTGGCTGATTCTCTGTTGAATGGGCGCCAGGTGTCGTGGCCGCCTGCTGTTCTTTCTTCGTGTAACAAGCGCGCTTTGGCATGCCGCTGGTGCTCTCGGCCACGCTCACGCCCGTTTCACGGCTGCCTGCATAGATTGACGACTACTTCTGGAATCTGATCATCACGGATACGGCACTCGTCTCCGTCAGCGTCGTCGTCGTCTATCTCTACATGGCCTTTCACGTTAACTCATTCTTCATTTCCGGCATGGGTGCGTGCCTAAATGTGTGTGTGTGAACACTTGTGTATGCAACACTACTGCCTTCTACACTGGCACCTGTTCCTGCGCGGGAGCGTACGCGCTGGTTGCACTGTTGTGCCTTCCAGCTCGTCTTCATCGTAATCTCATGCAACTCTATCCTACCTCCAACGATCCGCATCCCCCAAAACAGGCATGCTGCACGTCCTGGTTAGCTTTCCGATTGCGTTTCTCTTCACGCAAGCGGCCATGGACTTTGGTGCTATGGGTATTCTCAACCTCATGTCTCTCTTCATCATCTTGGTGCGTAAGCACATGTTGTTCGCCTTGCCTGGTATGCGTGCTTGTTTCACTCGCGTTTGCTGCCGTTGCTCTGTCGTTCGTTCGTTTGCCTTGAGGTCTTGGGTTGGCCTCACAACACCATCCAATGCGTCCCTCAACGCGTTGCGATGCATTGCGCTCTGCAGGGTATTGGCGCTGATGACGTCTTCATCTTCGTCGACGCGTGGCGGCAGAGTGAGCTGGAAGTGCCCGGCCCAGGTGAGCGCTGACATGCACCACAGAATCGCCCGCACGATGCTGTTGTAACGCTTGCTTGAACTACCGCATGCATTCTCTCCACATATCACCACACTTTGTTTCACCCCTTGCTCACACCAAAGGCATCATTACCACCGTTAAAGACGGGCGCCTGCGTCGCAACGCCCCCAGTCGAGATGCGGAGATAACAGAGGACAATCTCCAGTGGCTCACGGTACTGGCCGCATAATTGCAGTGGAGAGCAGGAGTGGTAGCGGGGGTGAGCGAGTGGATGAGTACGTGATTGATCACTGGCAGGTTTGTCCATTCCTTATTGTGTCTGTCAAGGTCCTCACACGCTCCGTCCACCATTGCTATGCCGTTGCCTCTTTCCTCACTCCCACCAACAACACACCTACTCCTCTCTCTTTGTGACACCTTGACAGGAGCGACTCGTGTGGACATACACGCGGTCGTCCGAGGCGATGCTGATTACGTCGCTCACCACGGGCGCCGCCTTTGTCATGAATCTCTCCTCATCCGTCCCGGCCATCCAGATCTTTGGCGCCTTTACCGGACTCATGGTGTGTGTGTGTGTGTGTGTGTGTGTGTGTGTGTGTGTGTGTGTGTGTGTGTGTGTGTTGCATGACGTGCCGGCAAGGTGCACAAGCCCGCAAGCAGTGTCTATCATGAATGCTGCGTTGTCGCTCACACACACACACACACACACACACACACACACACACACACACATACACACACACACGTTTCGTTACAGATTCTCTTCAACTTCATTCTGGTCATCACGTACTTCCCGTTTGTGGTGGTGACGCATCATTGCTTTATTCGTCACATCCACTACCCGTGCTGCCGCCGCTGTTGCTCGAAGACAAACAGAACCAAACTTCCTGCTTCAGGTTCGCAGAAACCCCAAGAATGGTCATGGATTTGTGTGTGATTGCATGCTCTGCCCCTCGCCAATTGAAAACTGTGCCACCGCTGTTGGTGCTAACTCGTTTTGCTACCTCCTTTCTCTGTCAGCAGCGACCCAAACCCAACTCGATGGAGTGACTAGCAACAAACTTGTTGGGAAACACCACAACATCAACGAGTATCGTGCACTGGAGCGGTTCTTCTACAAGTCGTACGCCCCGTTCATCTGCAAACGCGTGCGTATTGACACGCAGCAGCTATCCTGCAACGCTGCTCAGGCAGTCTTTGCCATGGTTGCATTCATCCGTTGTAGCTGTGCACTATTGGGTTCAATATTCCTTCGTGCCCCAGCTACCACGGCACAAACCATGACTCGCACACTCACGCTCACTCACTCTCGCTCTCATTTTCACACATCATTCTCTCTCCTTACCTGTACAGCGGTGGCATTTGGTCGCTGTGTTTGCCATTTGGTTTGGCGTCAGCATCTACTTTGCATCCGAACTCAAGGCCGCAACGTATGTCTCCGATGCTGCGTTGATCCGTTTGGCTCTCTCCGTGTTTGTGTGTGTGTGTGTGTGTGTGTTTTCATGGTCATGAATTTGCAGTGTTCTGTCCACGTGTGCTGCTGCTGCTTTCGTGTGCACTCAACGAGGCTGCGTGGATGTGTTCAACGACGCCTACGTATGCTTGCATATGCGCCCATCCTTGGCAGCGAGCCAACACAATGGTTGCCAAGCAGAGACAAGCTACAACAGGCCTTTGACATGCTGAACAGCGATTTTGCGCGGACTGACCTCGTTCCACAGATTGTTGTCATGTATGGTGAGTGCACCGCTGGCATGCGTGTGCAGAGGACAGTGCTCACAACACGCTTGGCTCTGACGCGAGACCACACACGCATGCTGATGGTTACACACACGCGCGCGCGCGCGCATGCATGCTGATGCTTGTACACCTACATAGGCCTTGAAGTCGTCGACCTGTCTGGTGTGAATCCATACAATCCAAACGACCCTGCTCGCGTCGTGTTTGATTCCGGCTTCGACCCAACTGCTCCCAACTTTCAGGTGCGTGTGTGTGTGTGTGTGTGTGTGTGTGCGTGCGTTTGCTAGTGGGTGAGTGAGTGTGTGCGTTTGCTAGTGGGTGAGTGAGTGTGTGGGTGTGGTTGTGATTTGATACTTGTGCTGGCCCGTGGATACATGCGGGTGTCCGTGTGGGAGTGCGCGTTTGACTCGCTTGTGCGAAGAAGCATGCAATTGACCTCACGACCCAAGCTACACACTACAAACTACAAACTACAAACACCCATGTGCGCCACCTCTGTTGCCACACGCCAGGAGACGTTCATCTCCATCTGCGAGCGATTTAGGGAGGAGGGCGAGTTTGTGCTTGAGGAGGAGATTCTGTGCCCGATGGAGCTCTTCCGCGACTATGTCACAAACGAGCTGGGAATGTCAGTTGCCGTTGCCGCGCCTGCGAATGCATGCATGCTCTCGTTAATTGTGACGAGCTCTCACCAGCTTATGCACTTGTGTGTGCTCCCTTCATCACTCACATGTGCAACACGACGCACGCGCACGCACACACGCACATGCACATATTTCTGCGCTGCCACTCCCTTTGGTCGTGTTCGACAGGGCCTTCCCAGTCCCGAGAGACGACTTTGTGCCCTTGCTGGCGAACTTCACGCGATATTACGAGGATAACAACGGGCCCGCCCCCGATGTGTCCGGCGACGTGTCATCATCTGAGCAGGACGCAGTCACCCGGGACGAGCGCTCATGGCAGCAGGTTGAGGTGTACCAAACCATCCGCTTTCACCTCGACACGGAGGAACCTGAGTTGGCGTACATGTTCATCATTGTCAACACAACTCTGAACACATTCAGTGCTGGAAAGGACATTCGCCCAGCCTATGAATTTTGGGACCACATGCTTGATATGGAAAACGCCCGCGCAGACAACATCGGTACAGATGCTGCTGCTGCTGGTGTTGTTGTTGTTGTTGTTGTTGTTGTTGTTGTTGTTGTTGTTGTTGTTGTTGTTGTTGTTGTTGTTGTTGTTGTTGTTGTTGTTGTTGTTGTTGTTGTTGTTGTTGTTGTTGTTGTTGTTGTTGCTGCTGCTGCTGCTGCTCGCAAGTGGAGGTCACATGCACCCGTGCACGCACATGCGTTAAAACAGAGGCAACGCTCGACGGTGCGCTGCAAACAGCCGACTTGTACATCGATCTTCACTTGGAGGACACTTTGTTACGCGCGGCAATTGTTGGCATCGCCGCCAGCCTCTCACTTGCGTTTGTCATCATCATCGTCATGACACGTGACATCACCCTCTCCGTCATGTCTATCATCTCCATCGGGGGCGTTGTCGGTGAGACAAAGCGAAACTGCTATGCTGGTTGTCTGTGTGCTTGTTTGCATGTCCAAGCTTGCATTGCATGGCTGGCGGACGCTCAACTGCACCCACGACGCGTACTCACAACATGGGATTTTTGCTTCACACGCCGTCAACATGCAGTGTCGTTGATTGCACTTATGGTGATGCTGGGATGGACACTCGGCTTGATTGAGAGTGTTTGCTTGACCATCCTCGTCGGTCTCAGGTCAGGGATTTATTCCTGGCAGGTTTTGCGCATGCACAAAAGCACGAAGACACACATGCACACATACACACACGCACGCACACACACACACACACACACGCAAACACACACAAAAAACCAACACACACACACAAAAAAACCAACACACACACACACGCGCGCGCGCGCGCGTGCATTATGGTTCATACTTGTTTTTTTGTTTTTTTGCACTTATGAAACAACATCTCTTCCTATTGCTGTGGCATTTCCTGTTTGTAGTGTGGACTACGTCATCCATCTGGCCAACGCGTATCGCGAGAGCCACGAAGTGACACGGTTCAGCCGCGTGCGGGACGCATTGGTGATGATGGGTATCTCTGTCCTCTCAGCCAGTATCACGACGTTCTTGGCTGGATTTGTCCTCTTCTTCGGATACATTACCTTCTTCTTCAAGTTTGGCGTGTTCATCGCCCTCACCATCTTCTTCGCGGCAATTTGGGCGTTTGGGTTCTTCATGAGTCTCGCAGCCATCGCAGGTACGAGCTCAATAAGCCCACGCAAGCTCATTCGTCGTCGTCGTTGTTGTTGTTGTTGTTGTTGTTGTTGTTGTTGTTGTTGGTGGTGGTGGTGGTGGTGGTGTTGTTGTTGCTGTCATGGTACCAAATGCACCTCTCTTTGCTTTGCTTCTTTGCTGGTGGCTCATTCACTCACATACACACTCACATGGACTCACTCGCTCACTCACGCAAACGCACGCATGCACGTAGGCAACAAAGAGTACGTCGACGACTTTGTACGTCTGTGGCGTGTGCTCACATGCAAACCACAGGCACTGAAACTTGGTGGTGTCAACACGACGACCCCAGCGACTGAAATGGATCGCCACAATGGCATCACTGAAACCAAAGTCGCAGTCATGAGCGGCTGAGGGCTTTCCACCACTGGCTTTGTTTGTTCGTTTGCTCGCTTGTTTGTCATCGTTTGCAACGGTTGCCGTTCTCAAGCCTTTGTAGGCAACGTTGACCAGTTCTTTCCTTCCGTTCTGAAATTGCCACCCCTCCCACTTCCTCATTTTGTTAGAGCTGGTGAGAAATGGCAAGTTATACGAAACAGCACGATGTTTGTGCCTCAGCGATGGTCAGTTCTCGCTTAATTTTCCTGTTTGTTTCTCTACACATCATCACATGGACAAAGTAAGAAAGCGAGAAGAAGCGGCGCATGCCAGTCACTCAGCGCACCACCTACTTTGTGCTAAAATGGCTGGCTTTTCATAAGAGTGACAGGTGACCTCTATAGTATGAGGTCTTGAGCAAAGTTTGGAACTTCAAACGCTGATTTCAAAGTTCTCGGTATGGATGCTTGCTGAGTCGGAAAAAGTTCATGAATGTCTTTCTGCCAGGCATATACGTAGACAATGGGAATCGAGGCAATATAACACATAGAGCCATTCCCTTTCATCAAATGCTGCCCTCCATTCCATGCATCCAATGTGTCAAAGTCAGCGCTGAGCAGGATGCCAACCTCTTCTTCATCACCGTCGAGGCCAAGCTCATCGCCGCTGGCATCGACGCTGGCATCATCGCCGAGGGTGGTGCTGACCACCAAGGAGACGGGCAGGCTCCAGCAGCTGCCTCATCGCCGAGCCCAAGCACCCACGGTGCTTCGGGTCCCCGCACTCGCTCCCGCGCTCAACGCGGCCCGCGCCGCACTGGCGCCCGCCACGACGCGGGGGACCACGACGACGATGACGACGACGAGGGCGATGGCGACGACCACGGCGCTCGCCCATCTTCCTCCTCTTCCTCTCTCCATTCTTCGGCCACTCCGAGCGGAGGAGCGCAGGTGGCGTCCCGAGCCTCTGGCCTGCTGGATCCCCGTGATCCACAGGTTGACGCAGCCATCTTCGCGTTCCTCCTTGGCGTCCTGACGGGACACCCGCTGCGGCTGGCCATCACCGACAACCGTGGCCGCTCCGGTGTGCTTGCGCTGCGCCGCCTCCGCGAGCGCTACATCCGCAGCGGCAAGGACCACGTCTGTGACATGTCGAACGTAAGACAAGCAGAGGATGTGCGTGTGTTTGTGTGTGCGTGCGTTAGCGTAGTGGTATGCTCACTTGTCTGAGTGTGTTTGTGTGGGTTTACTGTGTGATGTGGAAGACAGACGGGAACAAGGATGAATGAACACAAGTGAAGCACTCCCGCATTGTGGCAGAAACAACAAAGAGATTGGACGAAGAACAACACGCAAACATATGCAATACCGCACTTTGTGTGGAAGCAACACACAGCTTGAACGAAGAAAACGGAAGTGTAACAACCACAGCAGAACCGGTTGGATTGCAGAACTATTCATGCTGTCTCCAGCTTTCCGGACATAAGCAAACACATCCACATGCACATGACACGGACTCGTCTCTCCACACACCCCCTCAACTCGCATGCAGCACTTGCTCTCGGCACTGCGTCAGAGATGGACGAGGTAGGGCCTTCGTCAGCATGTCTGCAAGCAGCTTTGTGCCGGGTTCATACACTGCCTTGACGACGCCTTCGCCAATGAGCTCGCGCAGAAGGTGATAACGCAGCCGTATGTGTTTGGAGCCGCCCTTGGCCACGGGATTGGTAGCAATGCACATGGCAGACTGGCTGTCCATGTGGAGTGGTGTGGTGCCGACGTCGAAGCCCAGCTCCTGGAGGAGTTGTCGCAGGTACACCGCAGCCTGTGCTGCGCGCGCAGCGGCGACGTACTCTGTCTCCGCCGATGATGTTGTGACGAGAGGCAGCCTCTTGGACAGCCATGTCACAGGGCCACCGGCGATGGTGAACAGGTGGCCCCCATGCCCCTTCGACGTGTAGGGGTCAGACATGTGACTTGCGTCTGTGTAGCCAAGGAGTTGAAGCGAATCACCCGCACTGTACTTGATTGCCAGAGCCGCCGTGCCCCGTAGGTACTTGCAGACATGTCTGGCCGCGTGTAGGTGCTGCTTGCCGGGTTGCTGGATAAATCTGGAGAGCACGGATGTGGCGTAGCTGATGTCGGGACGCGTCGTCACTGCGAGATACAGCAGACTGCCAATGATGCTCTGGTAGTGACGAACGTCGACCTCGGCTTGTTCCACCGGCACGAGCTTCATCTTGACGGGGAGTGGAGTTGCCTTCGCCTTGCAGTCCTCCAGGCCTTCTTGCTTCAGCACAGTCTGGATGTAGTCGTGCTGGTTCAGCGTCATAACGCCGCGTTCTCTGTCATAGGAGATCGCAATGCTGAGGTGTTGTCGTGGCGCGCCCAAGTTCTTGAGGTCGTAGTTGGCTGCAAGCACAGCCTCTGCACGGTCCATGTGCTCCTGTGTCGTTGCCGCCACAAGGAAGTCGTCGACGTGCACGCAAATCATGACTGTGCGATCCTGGTTGACGAAGATGCAGGCGTCGGACCGCAAACGCTGGAAGCCGCTGCCGCCAATCGTCTTCCAGACAGATGCGTACCACAGCTTCGGCGCCTGGCGCAGGCCATAGAGGCTCTTGCGCAGCTTCAGCACAGACCCGGCAGGGAGGTTCGCTGCCTGCGGCGGACGCACAAACACGTTTGCCATGTCGAGCTCGGCATGGAGAAAAGCCGCAGACACATCGAACTGGCACAGCAGCATGTGTCGCTGGGCTGTAGCAGCGAGAAAGGTGCGCAGAGCCTCGAAGCGTGTCGTGGGCGAAAATACATCTGCGTATGTGTCCTCCGTCTGCCGGTTGCCGCAGCAAACAAACCGGACTTTGTGGACAATACTGCCGTCCGGTTTGTGTTTCACAGCAAAGACGAGCTTGGACGGTATTGGTCGCACGCCCATGGGAAGAGTGCGCTGGTCAACGATGTCGAAGACGTCGTGCCGAATCATGTTACTCCACTCCTTGACGAAGGCCTCCTGCCACTTGCTCTTGTGTGCAGAGGCCATGGCGTCCCGCCATGTCTTGGGGACCGGCTGCTGCGGTGGCTGGTGCGTCTGTACCATGGCATTCTTCAACAGGGTAGTCCGCAGGCAGAGGATGTCGGTCTCGTAGCCGTCACTGTCGTCGCTGTGATCGCCATCGCCATCGTCATCGTCATCACTGCCGTCGTCTGCCGTTGACGAGTCAGGATGCTTGCTGTTGACGGCACAGCTTGTCTTCTGCTGTGCCGTGGGTGCTGATTGCGCGAGTGGTGCAGATGTTTGTGCGCCGCCGCTGTCGCCCTGCCGCATGGGGTCAGGTGTGTTCTCGTCGCCCTGCCGCATGGGGTCAGGTGTGTTCTCATCGCCCTGCCGCATGGGGTCAGGTGTGGATGCTGTTGCTGCTGGCATCACCCATAGGTTCTGCACAGTGCTGGTGCCGTTGCTGCCTGTGAGTGGTGATGTCGGTAAAGCACCCCCTTGACTCGTGCAGTCAACCTCTTCCAGGAAGTCAACGTGGATGGAGGACCTCACTCGCCCAGTTGCCTTGACGTAGATGCGATGCGCGTTGCATCGCGTGTCGAAGCCAACATAGAAGCCTTCCATGGCCCGTCGGGGAAAGGCCTTGCTCTTGTCCGTGTGGACGTGGTCATACACGAACGCCTTGCAGCCGAAGACGCGCACGTGCTGCAGTGGCGAAGGCTTGGCGAAGAGAGCCTGGTACGGTGACATGCCCAGTTGGGAGTGCGGAAGAAGGTTGTACACCCATGCAGAGTGTCCAAGCGCAGCAGACCAGAGCTTGTCCTTGAGGTGCTGCGGCAGTGGTGCCGTGTGCAGCATGGCAGCGGCAGACTCCTTCAGCGTGCGAATGCTTCGCTCCACAAGCCCGTTGTGCTCGTGCACATGTGGCGGACTGTAGCGAAGGCGAAGGCCAAGCTCGTTTGCCGTTTGCACGAAACGCCGAGACGTGAAGACGGGATCGCTGTCCGTTTGAACGAGGGTGCCACGGTCAA